GAAGGAGAAGAAAGGTAGGAGGGAAGTGAGGTCGAACGGTGGAAGGCATGGAGAGGTTAGGCCGAACGGTGGAAGGCATGGAGAGGTTAGGCCGAAGCGTGGAAGGCATGGAGAGGTTAGGCCGAACGGTGGACAACGGGGAGCGACCAGGCCGAACGATGGAAAGCAGAGAGAATATTCAGTATAAGTTAATTAGAGTAAATAAATATAGTATAAGTTAATTAGAGTAAATAAATATATATTTAGGCAAATATTCAATATAAGATATGTATAATTAAGGATATATGCTAGGATAATATATGGGGAGATATTTATATTAAATATAGGGATATTTATATTAAATATAGGGATATTTATATTAAATGCAGATATATTCTAGGAAAATATTTAATAAGAGATGTGCGGGAAATAATTAGTATAAATAAAGTTAGAGTCTAGGGTTAAAGGTATGCTTTTGATTATTGAGTTTTGTGACAGACATTATTGTCTTGTGAGGGATTTTATGCTCTCAAAGTAATTGAAGGAGGTTATGCTCCCAATTATTGTTTACCCTTGTTTATTCAGATATTACCATCAATAAAAGAGATTCATTCATCTATTGTCATTCGTTTATTGTTCTGTTACGTGTGAGAGAGTGTGAAAGGTTGTATTTGGCTAGTTTACGTACTCAGGTACGTAACAATTGGTCCGATCTGCCGGATCGTCAAGGGAGGAAACTGCCGGATCATCATGGAGGGAAGAGTGAATGTCATTGAAGGGAAATTGGAGGTCATAGAAATCTCCATGGGCGGATTGCAGACGGCAGTCCAAGAGCTAGTGAAGATGATGGGGGAGCATGGTCGACGACATGAGGGGAATTTGGAGGGCAGTCAAGGGTCTGTCAACGGGAGAAAGGAGGAGGAGGGTGAGAAAGACGATGGCGGGCTAGATGGGGGACACCGAGAGGAGCAGCCGAATTGGAGGAAAAGGGTCGATTTACCCGTTTTTGAAGGGATTGATCCGTTGAAATGGATCAATAGAGCGGAAAAGTTCTTTGAACTACAAGGAGTATTGGAGGAAGAAAAGCTACGCCTATCTTATATAAGCATGGAGGGAGTTGCTGGACACTAGTTCAGATTCTGAAGAGAGAAGGCCAGGGACCGTTCATGGGGAGGATTGAAGGAGGCGATGGCGAACCGATTTGGAGGAAGGAGCCGGGGAACAATCTTCGAGAGGTTGGCGGCCTAGAAACAATCAGGCACCGTGGAAGAGTATATCCAAGGTTTCGAAATCTTGGTTGGCCAGACGAAAGCAATACCCGAAGCACAGCTGATGGGGTATTTTATGGCCGGCGTAAGGAGGGGATCCGTAATCAAATCCTACTACTTGATCCGCAGGAGTTGATGGTCGCCATGAGAATTGCAAGGGATGCCGAGGAGGCCCAGGGCAAGACAAAGGATGAGAATTGGAGCGTGACAAAGAACTCGTCACCTTTGGAACGAACGAACAGTGAGGAGACACGACCCAGAGTAAATCGTTATAACCCAGGCCGATTGGTTGTCGCCAAGCGGTCCAAAGCCAATCACTGTAACCCAGGCCGATCGGGAGTCGCCGAGAGTGTGGGGTCCGTACAGAAGGAAGGTAGTGATAATAATGGGAGAAACACCAGGAATATGCCTTATTCAAAAGCCATAAAATGGAGAAAAGAGGGAAGGTGTATCAGGTGTGGAGGACCGTTCGGTCCTTGTCACCACTACTTGGACAGGAGTTTGAGAGCCCTGATATTGGCAGAGGACGAGGAGGAATTTCCACCACCCAAACCTCTAGACCTGAATCGATGAGGAGCCATGAGATCAAGCTCCCCCAATCCAACCTTGGGGACAAGGTTGTTTTGCAGCGGGGTGTAATGTTAGGGTATAAGGTGGGAGGTAATGAGAAGGAGAAGAAAGGTAGGAGGGAAGTGAGGCCGAACGGTATTGACCGTAAAGGCCGAACGGTGGAAGGCACAGAGAGGTTAGGCCGAACGGTGGACAACGGGGAGGGACCAGGCCGAACGCTGGGAGGCGGGGAGCGACCAGGCCAAACGGTGGGAAGCAGAGAGAATATTCAGTATAAGTTAGTTAGAGTAAATAAATATAGTATAAGTTAATTAGAGTAAATAAATATATATTCAGGCAAATATTCAATATAAGATATTTATAATTAAAGATATATGATAGGATAATATATGGGGAGATATTTATATTAAATATAGGGATATTTATATTAAATGCAGATATATTCTAGGGAAATAATTAGTATAAATAAAGTTAGAGTCTAGGGTTAAAGGTATGCTTTTGATTATTGAGTTTTGTGACAGACATTATTGTCTTGTGAAGGAGGTTATGCTCTCAAAGTAATTGAAGGAGGTTATGTTCCGAATTATTGTTTATCCTTGTTTATTCAGATATTACCATCAATAAAAGAGATTCATTCATCCATTTTCATTCGTTTATTGTTCTGTTATGTGTGAGAGTGTGAAAGGTTTTATTTGGCTAGTTTACGTACTCAGGAGTACGTAACATTAATCCTTTGCTTTTTTGACAAATCTGCAATACTTTGCTGGTCAGAGGCTCTCTCTTATCTTCCTCCTCTTTACTTTCCAATTCTTCATCTTGTGATCCTTAAATGAGTACAAATTGATAGTGTTTCAATTTGCAAACATGATCTCGACCCTAAATTTCTCCACATTTAAAACAGAGCCCCTTCATACTTCTTTCTCTGAATTCGGCTTGAGAAAGTTTTCCTCCACTGAAGGATTTCTTCTGCCAATGATCCACATCATTTATCTTGTTGCTTGTTCCCTTCTTATTTCCTCCTCTCTCTCCCACCTAGCGAAACCGTGAATATGCCTGCGAAACCGTGAATTTGCCTTCCCACTGTCTTCTCCATCAATTTAGTCCTAATTTCTGTAGAGGAGTATTATTCTCTTCAAGGAACAAGGCCTAATCCATCAACTCCTGAAGGGACCCAGTCGTATATAACTTCAATTTGGCTTGAATCTCTTCCTTCAAGATGTTGAGGAAGTTCGCTTCAGCATTATTTTCTCTTTCTTTAGCTGTGTAGACTCATGTTCAAACTTGTATTTCATTATAGAGCTAGTATGTTGCAGACTCAACAACGGGCCAAACGGATTTTGTACCGGCCACGGTTGAAAGCATCAAATCAATGCACCTTTAAACTCCTCCGAACTGAGTTCTTGACTCTGGTTTGTCCACCAATGGTACCAACTAAGCCTTATCTTCCAAGGCTATCAACACGTCCAGTTTTTCAGCTTCTTCGACCAGATTTTTGAAACCTTTCAGCCCTCACGATTCAGTCATACGCATCATCTCCTCAAAGTATTGGAATCTTAAGTTTTCACCCTCCAAAATCATGTGATGGCTCACGACACTAGTTCAGGTCATGTGGCTTATGAGGTCTTCACTCTCAACATCACCATCAGTAGTATTGTGCTTCACCCTCCTCCTATTCAAACGTCGCTTGTGAGGCCGCGAGGCCGCCCTTGTCGTGATTGCTGTGAGAGATGATGAGATTTTTCAACTTAACCAGTTGTTGCTCGAGTCCTTCTGAGCGTTGCTCCATTGTGCGACAAGTACCATGCACTCCAAGAAGCAAGTGGTTTGATACCAATTTTTAAGTATCCTCGTATAAGAACACAAACAATGGAAATGAAAGTATTACTTTCTATATTCAGTATTTCAGAGTTCATACAAATAAGAAAAGAACCAAAACCAGATATTATAAGTCTCTCTACTCCCAAAAGTTCCCAGGTCAGTCCTCTCGCCCCATGCAAATCTCCCTCTCCTATCTTTATACCCTCTCCGTCAGCCATTCTGTTATTACAGAATTAAGGACGTGTGCTTGTGGGTCCCAAGTGATGGATTTTTACTTCTTCCTCTCATAGACTTGGTGGATTTTCCTACTCTGCCCTTCCACTTTTTCTCCTTCATTCCTATCTATATTGTCTAAAATGGTTTGCTCTCTTTGAAACCCTAATCTACTTTCCACTATTGCAAAAACTGATTTCAAATGTGTGCGAATGGGTAATTGTTATATATGGTGATCCATCTTTCCTCTCAAGGTTTTCCAAAATCATGCTGCAATATAGTTGAAAATGGTTTGCTCTCTTTGAAACCCTAACCCACTTTCCACTCTCGCAAACCCTACTTTCAAATGTCTCTGCACATGGCTCACTATGCATTGTGTTGTTTTTCACAAACCCTTCTTTGTCATCTGCATTTTTGCAGTCCTTTCCGATTTTTAATTTGAACTTCAAACTTAAAAACCACATATGGACCTGGATTTTGGATTTTTTACCCTTCTATTTTAACTAATAAAATTTCAAATTTATTATTTATTTGTTTTTGTTGCATTATTATGTGTTTACTTATGTTTGAACTCATTTTGCTCTTTTCTTCACATTTGCGTGCTGGAGTACGGTGACAATATGTCTTTATTGCAAAGGAAAAGCAAATCCACTTTACTAAATACTAGTGTAGAGACAATTGATTGATGTGCAGTTGAAGCGAGTATACAGTTGTAAAGATAAAGAAGTTGAATATCAATATGCTGAGTGCTAAAACAATATCAATCATGAGCTTGTAATAATTCTTGTTTATAGTTAAAATTGTTTCTTCAACATGGATTTTTCTTCATATGTTTTGTTAGTATTGAATATAGTGGTTAATTTTCCTGTCGTTTTTGAAGCTTAGTATGCCATATAAAAAGGCTTTGTATGCTGGTAGAATTTATTCCTTTATTTTTTTAGTATACTTTAATTAATTAATATTTTAAATTACAATTCAGATCAATGATCATTCTTCTAGTACATTTACCCAGTTTATTTAGAAACTTCTCAAGTATACCATGAGTACTTTTTGGTGTTTGGCTCATAAGCCTAAAAAGGTTAAAAACTAAAATGATTTTTATACATATATGGAAATCTGATCAATTGGTTATATAACGTCTTTTTAAGTTAACTTGTGATTTTCATATATTTGCAGGTAAGGTGGGATGACCTAGAAGCCTCAAGGCATAATAGGGTTTCACCTTGGGAGATTGAGCCATCTGGTTCTGCATCTACTTCAAATAAATTGATATCAGCTGGTTTGAAGAGGACCAAGATTGGATTGCCTTCAACCATGCTAGATTTTCAAGTTTCCAGTATGTCTTTATTTTTTATTTACTTTGCGCTGTTCTACCAATGACAGCTTTGTTGTTGAGTTGTTCCATTCTTTTGACAGATGCAATTGGATCATCAGACTTTGGTGAATCACTAAGGTTCCAGAAGGTCTTGCAAGGTCAAGAAATGTTGGGTGTTAATACTACTTTTGATAGTATTAGTGGTCAGAATCACCAGCTATCTGATTTGAGAAGATGCTATCCTGGCTCAAATTGTCCTAGGATTGCTGCAACTGGAAATAGCATTGGAATTCCACAAGTGAGTTCCAATGTTTCCTGCAATGGCATAGGCTTTAGGGAATCTTTCATATTCCAGAAAGTCTTGCAAGGTCAAGAAATACTTCCAAGCCAACCATATGGAAGGGCCCTGTCTGTTGATGAGGCTTGTGGAAATGGTAGCTTTGGACCTTTTGATGGTTACCGCACACTGGGACCCAGCAATGGATGGTCTTCCCACTTGAGTAACAATTCTTCACATTTGCATCCACCTGTTCCATCTGGGCAAGTTTCATCTCCATCATCTGTGTTAGTGTTCCAGCAAGCAGTCAATCCAGTTTCAAACTCTGATTATAACAGCAAAATCAGTCTGATGATGGAAGGTAAAGTCCATCAACAACTTTCATACACTTCTGAAGCTAAAGGCGGAAAATTTCTATCAGTCCCTTATGAGCCTCTTCGTGGACTAGTTCAGGAAGGCACAAGTTCTTGTGGTGTCTCAAACTTGCATAATCAGTTAGAAAGTTCACGTTCACACGATTCTATTTCAGCACTTCGGGCTAGTCAAGAGTTGGTTCCCACTTGTAAAAGTCGATGCAGAGTCTTTGGCTTTTCATTAACTGAGGGCGCTCCTGTTGCAAGTACAGAAGTAGCTGGCGCCAACCAATCTGCAGTCACATGTTCTGGACCTTCCTTTGCAAGACACGGTGAAGATAGTTTCCACCCAATGCATCTGCATAGGAGCAAGGCAGTGGGAAGTTATTGCACCAAAGTAAGCAATCTTTATCCTCTAAGACATGGTATTTTACATAGCATTCTACTGGAATTCTCTTTAATAGAATCTGCAGTTTCACTGTCTTGGAACTAGATAAGACTGGATTTCACTTCTTTGATATTGTTTGATTTTCTCTTTATATTGCTATCAGAAGCATGAAAATGTTACCAAATTCTAATTCACTGTAACAAGATAATGATGGATGGTTAACCAAAAGAGTGAAGGATGTAATGCCGGTAGGAGTTATATTTTTCAGAATTGAACTTATCTATTTTCATTGTTAAAGCCAGTTCTTGCCATTTTAAATCATACACAGCTGAGTGTTATGCTTGATGAGTTTAAGCAATTTCTTGTTATGTCTTATTATTGTATATAAGTGAGTCATATCTTTACACCTTATTTGTCGATTGAAAGTAATGGTGGTGATGCCTCTACTCCTTATTTGATTTTTTGTTTCTTTCTTTTTACTCTCAGTTGTTATTAAATATTGCTTATTGTCTGCAGGGTGTGCTGCAATATTGACTTGAAAATCATGATGTGTGCTAGTAGTGATGCTGTCTTAAAGTAGCAGAGAAGAATGTCCACTGTTGTACTAATGTTAGAATATTATAACTATTGGCCTAAATAGATAAAAAAATTGGCTGTGACACAATCAAGTTCCTGTATTAATCTATTATGTACACTATTATTCACTTGTAAAACGATGCATGTGTATTTATAGTTATGGCCATGAGAGCGAGGTGGCACTGCATAACCATTCATCTGTCTTGAATTGGGCATGATTACTTGAGAGACAGTAGCTCATCATGTTTCATGACTTTAATGTTGTCTCTATATTTACGAGCTTTACCCTTTCTTGCTTGTTATATTTTCTTTCTTCCCTTCTCTCTTTGGTTTCTGCATGGAAATGCAGGTTTATGTGCACGTGACTAAAGTAAAACAACAAAGGCATGACCTTTTATTTCTATGTCAACTGGCTTGAGAGGTTTTACTTCCGACATTTTCATTTTTTAGAAAATTAAACATGTCTTGACAATTTTTTTTCGTTTTTGTTTGTCTAAGATTTGGAAACTTTGTCGGCAGAAACTTTTGAAATGCTAGTTTCAAACGATTGTCTTTTAAGAACAATAATCATGTTAGATTGTCGCATCAGGATGTGGAAAGAGAATCATGGACTACATAAATTCATGAAAACTATGACTTGGAATAAAGCTTAAGAACTTTTTACCTCTCAAATTCATGATTTAAATTCTGAACCACTTGATTCACCCGATTCTAAGTGGTATTGATAGCTTTTTTGAGAACATATGGCATGTCCTTATTAGAATATTGAATGCAAAAGCTTTCATGCAGAATCAGACGCAGTCTGCATTAAGTATGGAACATTATACATAGAATTAGAAGTAGGATGTTGAGACTTTAATGGTATAAACTCAAATGGTAGGATTGACTCTAAAGACAAATTTCTAGAATGTCTACTTAATCTATGAAAAGTTCTATCAATTTCAGGATCAAAGAGTGGTAGTTGTCCAAGATTGCCTCTAGTCATATACTAACTCAACTCTATCAGCAAAAGTTAACACAAGCAAACATAGTGGGGTAGAACTGCAAGCATATCCAAAGCTTATCCAAATGGGCTAAAGTTTTGTGAGCAACGTCCTACAATCATGAAATGATAGCACAAAAATTGGCAAACAAAAATTCAAAGGATAACTAATTTTACGAATTTAAGAAAGTTTGGAAGGATTGGGAAATTAAACTTGAAAATTCAAAAATAAATAGAAAATGGCCTCCTTTTGAAAATCTTATTCATTGCCACGCTCATTGCAAGAATCACGAGCATCGTGTTTTCTGTGAACACATGACAAACAATATCCAATTATCCAAATATTAACTTAAAACAACTTAAAAGTAAAACGCACACACTCAAACACACAAGAGAGAACACAACACATTAACTTAAGATTGAACCGTTAGTCCTCGGCAACGGCGCCAAATTTAATTAAGGCTATACCCAAATCAAATTAATATGCAACTAAGTGCAGTATAGACTAGGAAATGACTCCTAGGTCGTCTCTCAAGGACCAAATGTGATTCAGGCAATAAGTCAAAGACGTAGCGGGGGGAATAAGAAAGTTTTGTGTGAACAAAAATAAAGTCACTGCTTTGATATCAATGTTCCAATCACAGATTAACAATTATTAAACGCTACTCTCACCCTTAGTCCAACACGAATTAACCAATTAGGCGAAAGTTAATCCGGTCTTAAAAACGTGAATTAAGCAAACACATTGCACATGTCCCTATCAATTCTACACACACAGTCCAATTAACTAAGCGAAAATCAAACAACAATTAGACACTAAGCGTGTCCTAATTGGAAGTGCAAAAACATATTGAACAATGCACAACGCAAGGCAGTAGATGGCAATTCAGAGTGCAGAAATCTCATGGAACAATTCAATCTCACAACAACCAACCAAGATAGATTTAATCTATCATTAGAACGAAATATAAACACCAAAATGAAATGGAATTAATTATTAAACGCTGCAAAACATAATTGAAATGTGGAACAGAACCTACAAAACGTAAATGATTCTAATTCGAAATGCAACCCAGAAACAAAAGCCATAACCCTAAAACGAAATCTGTAATCAAAATGGGGAATGAAATAGTGCTGGAAAACGCAAATTAACCACAACAAACCGAACACAAAACGTATTCAAATGGAAATTCGAAATTGGGAATGGAGAGACAACTAAGGTGCAAAAACGTAAATGGGGAAACAACTAAGGGGCAGAAACGAATTTTATTAATCCAAAATCGAGTTCATAACAAAAGATAAGAGAGAATGAAAATGGACCTCCATGGGAGCTCTCCTTAGAAGCTAGAAACGTGAAAACCAGAATGAGGGAGAGTGTGTGGGTCTGTCTCCCTGTTTGGCGCACCTATCTAGGTCAGAATTGTCAAATGGGCCTAATCCTAAATGGCCAAAAATGGCCCAAAACCTAAATCTGTCCAAAAATACCTAAAAATGAAATTACATTTTAATTTAAACTGCAATGCTGATGTGGATGAACGAAAATGATGTGACCTCCCTCTTGATGTCCCACAATAATATTTCAAAAATTTCCCTGCAATTAATAATTAAAATAATTAGCCTCATATGATTTAAATTAATTAAAATAAGAATTTCTGGTCAAATTAATCAAATGTAGTACAAAAAACTAAGTGAATAGTAGAAAAATATTGATTCATTAGTATGCATCTCGTCAGTTGACAGTCCATGAAAGAAACTATCCGACCCATGATATAGAGCTGGCGGTGGCGGTGTTTGCTTTGAAGACTTGGCAACACCACTTTTATGGGACAAAATTTCAGGTTTTTAGTGAACACAAAAGTCTAAAATACCTGTTTGACCAGAAGGATTTAAACATGCGACAACAGAGGTGGATGGAATATCTGAAAGACTATGACTTTGAACTGTAATATCATCCAAGAAAAGTAAATGTTAGAACAGATGCTTTGAGCAGAAGGCGAGTGCATATGTCTGCTTTGATGTTCAAGGAGTTGGAGGTGACAGAGAAGTTGTGAGACACTAACCTTAATGTGAAGTTAGGATAAGTTTATCATTGGTGTAGTTATCTTTTTTGTGTTTTTTTAAGTTTTAAAAAAATTATTTTTTTTCTAAAAAAAATTGCCATGTGCTAATTGAGGATTCTACCACGTGGTAGAGATACTGTGACATTGTCATGACAGTGTCATGTGTCACTATTGGGGAAAGTGTCGTAAAATGTCTTAATTTAGTCCTTTTATTTGTATTTTGTCTCAATTCAGGCCCACGTTTTTTAAAATTGAAGTAATGTCATCCCTTTACAAATGAAGACCAATTTAGCTTTTATATAGATGTATAATGATATTTTCATTAAAATTTAACTTTTCACCACGACCCGACCCTCTTTGGCAGGCTAATATTGAGCTAGGGTTAAACGGGTCAGGTTGATCCATTTTTCCATCCTTAATAAATGTTATAATTTTAATAATGACATTTTTATTAAAATTAATATTTTAATAAGATTAAGTTTATTTAAATTAATATTTTACTTTGAATTTTATTAAATTTTGTTTTTAAATTTTAAATTGTTATAAAACTATTTTAAAATTTTATATTTGAATTTATAATATTGTTATTTTTAAACAAACTCTAACATTTATATAGAAATTATTAATATATAAATATTTAAAACCAAATTTAAATAAAGTTCAATATAAAATATAAAATTAAATAAATTTAATATTATTAAAAATATTTAGTAAAAATATCAATTTTAATGAAAATATCATTATATATTTATATAACAGTTAAATTTGCTCTTACTTTGAAGAGGGATGAAATTACTCTACTTTAAAAAAAATTAGGAATAAATTGAGATAAAATACAAATAAAATGACTAAATTGAGATTTTTCACATGACATTTTTCCCATTAGTAACACGTGGTACTGTCATTACCATATCACACTATCTTTGCCACGTGGTAGGACCCTCATTTGACATGTGCCAAAGTTTCTTTTTGAAAAAAAAAAAATTAAAAAAATTAAGAAAAAGACAAAAAAAACTCCAAACTGACACATGGCACTGAGTTAATGTCGTTAATACTATACTAACGAAAATGGTTAAATTGCATCACATTTTAAAAAATGAGGACCTAATTGGGACAAATTAAAACAATAAGACTGAATTAAGATTCTAATACACATATGATGATCATCCGAGAGTTTTAACCTTAAATAAATTATTAAAAATAATTGAACCAATAGACAACACTTGTTCGAAAAAGCATTTTTTATTGGTGGCCTAAAAAAGAATGCTTTTTGTAAAAAGTACTTTCTATAAGTAACCATTGGATAACACATTTTTGGAAGCGTTATATATTAATAGATAACATGCCAATAAACAACGCTTGAAAAACATTGTCTGTTAGAAAAAAAAAATGTTATTTATTCATAATTTTGTAGTAGTTTTGTTAAGCTAAGTAAATGCGCTCTATCCGTAAGGCTTTGGTGAGCAGATAGAGTATTACTTGTAAGGCTCTTAGTGTTAGCTAAGTAAATGTGTTTTATCCATAAAGCTTTGGTGAGGAGACATAATTTTTTCTCGTAGGGTCTTGGAAAAGTTGAGTAAGTGTTCTTTGACCATAAGGCTTTGGTGAACATATAAAGTTTTTAATCATAAGGCTTTTGGAAAGCAAGGGAAAGGGCCATGTCTATAAGGCTTTGGTGAACAGGCAAGGTGATAGGAAGTTTATGTGGGAAAGGCATACTGATTGGATTATTACATTGTGATAATATGACTTGGTTATTCTCATGAATTTAGCATTAGTTTATGGATTACAATTGTTTGTTTGAACGATGTGGGTGATGAAATAGGGTGTGAAACCATGTCTGATAGGAAGTTATGTGAGAAAGGCATACTGATTGGATTATTACATTGTGGTAATATGACTTGGTTATTCACATATATGTGGCCTTGGTTTATGGATTGCAATTGTTAGTTTGAACGATGTGGTGATGAACTAGGGTGTGAAACAATGCCTGATTGTGTTGTTGGTTTGATAACATGTTTTGAGTTATGTTGAGATTATTGATAAGAGGAGCATAGGTTTAGTTGAACCCACAATCTTAGTGATAACTATGTTTTTGATGATGACAACACATAATTAATAATAACACATGTATCTACTGTGTTATACATGTAATATGCTATTGATTACTGTGTTATATCTGTTAAAAGCATATATGTGAACATTATTGTGTTGATTAAAGCATACCACTGTGATTGATATGTGATTTTATTTGCG